AGCCAGAAGTAGAGCTGTAGCTCAAGTGGTAGAGCACTAGCCTTGAGCAAAAAAAACCTCAAGGACAGTACATAGGGTCCTGAGTTCAAGTCCCAGTCTTGGCACATTAAAAAAAAACTATCTTCTAGTGGTTTCATGAGAATAGTCAAGAACTCAGAACTTGGAGTCAACCCAAATCTGCATGGTTCAAATCCTGGCTTTTGTAGTCCTTGCTATATGGCCATGGGCAAATCGTGTCAACTTCCTGACCTTTAATTTCAAATTAAAGGGGATATAAATTCTGAACCTGCAATTTGTCCTGAAAACCAAAATGACAGAATGGACTGAAAGTGGTTACCACAACATCTGACATATGATGAACTACCAGTGACTCACCCATTGGGTGGCTATTAGTATTCAAAAGGCCTACAGAGAAGACCCATAGGTGGTGCTTCCCAAGCAAGCCTGTTACATGCCTTCACCCAAGTGCTTGCTCTTCCAAGTACATTTTCCCCCCTCAAGGCTAGGACTTTACCTCTTGAGCCACAGCTCTACTGGCATTTTACTGGTTAATTAGAAATCAGACTCATACACTTTTCTTCCCTGGGTTTCAAACCTTAATCCTCAGATCTCAGCCTCCTGAATAGCTAGGGTTACAGGCAGGAGCCACTGGTGCCTGGCCCAGTCCAGGTATCCATTGATCTCTCCTTGAGATCTTTCTGTGACTGCACTATCCTCCACTCCCTACTTATAGTAGGGAAAAGAAAGTCATTGATGTGTTTAGGATATGATTGCAAAACAGTCTATTTTTTTTTCTTTTCAACCTTAGAATCAGGATGAAATGACAGCTGTGAGGGGTCAATTGTGTGCTGAACTTCCACCTACTCTGATCTTTGCCTCTTGGTGACTTGATTTGAATTCTATAAATAAAATGATGCCTGGCACTGTTTCCCAGTCATCAGGAGATACATTTCTATAAGCAACATAATCTGGTCTCACACTTTCTCCCTTTAACCTACAGAACTCTCTCCATTTGACTTCTATCTTGGCTGATGTCTTTATGATAATGATTTCCAAAGGAAAAAAGGATGGGATATTGCAGAAGGGATGGCAATTATGTTATCTTGAGATATTAACTTCCTTTCATTTTGTATGTGTGCTTTTCTGATGACTACTTTGTGCCTTGGGCACTGTGGGACACAAATGGATTCTACTTGGGAGGAGTCCCCAATACGTGTGTGTTATTGGAGGACCAGGGGGGACAGACACATAAGAAAATGATTAGCAAATGAAGGAGAGTGATAGAGGGGGTAGTCTGTTTAAGGCACACTGTTATGTATAAATGGTGATGTCAGAATGAGTCCCCTGTACAACTAATCAATGCTAATGAAAATGTGAAGAAAGAGAAAGCAATTTAACCAACAATTGAGGTGAGCACAGATGTTGAAAGAACAGCCAATTGTTGCAGTCTGCCACAACCAGGGGAAGGGGGGAATCCAATGATGGGAGACTAGCTGAAGAACTGAGGTTTTGGAAGACCAGGGGACCCAAAGCCGTTCTTGCTGTCGGATTCTGGAATCCCACTAACAAGAGTTTTTATTTAGTACAGGGAGAGGGGACCAAAGATATGTGCAAAGGCTAGGGTTACAAACATTAACACGAGGCATAGACATTCCACAAACTCTCATTTTAACATACTTAGGGCTGTAATTTGACACTTTGTATTGCCTAGACTGCTCAATCTTCCCAGGGCCCTAGCCCCCAGCATTCTGGGAGCTTTACTGATAGACTGGAATTCCAATCTCTTGGCCCCTTCAGACCTCACAGCTTCAGCTTGGCACAGGACTCTTTGGCTTGGCACAGACTCTTTGTTGTTGTTGATCGTGGAGCTTTAACTCTGGGCCTGGGTGCTGTCCCTGAGCTCTTCAGCTCAAGGAAGGCACTCTACCACTTGAGCCACAGTGGTTAATTGGAGATAAGAGTCTCACAGACTTTCTTGCTTGGGCTGGCTTTGAACCGTCATCCTCAGATTTCAACCTCCTGGGCAGCTAGGATTACAGGTGTGAGCCACGGGTGCCTGGTCCCCCTTTCTTATTATTTAAAAAGCATACTTTTCATTTCTGCTTGAGCTAGCAGATGCTAGAAGATGGACATTGAAATAGGCAGGGAGTCAGCAAAATAATCACTAATATGAAAGCTAGTGGGTCTAGAAGGGGCCAAATCCAGGAAGACCATTTTGGAAGTCCCCAGTTATTATTGCTTTTTAACTTGCCCAGTTCCTTTTTGAGCTGCTCCAGTTGATTCTGAATCTTTTGAGAATTGTCAATTATATTAAAACAACACAATCCTTCAAATTGCTCACATCCTAAATGATTTTTTAATAGCAAATAACCTATGGCAGCTAAATTTGATAAAATTTCTGTTCTCAACTCTCTCATTTCCTGACTTATTTCTCCCAAAATTTTTGGTACATGTATTACAAGCCCAGAAACTGGTAGAATAAAGACTTCAGCTACAGTCATATCAGCAGTATTTAATAGCACAAGATTGTCATCACAATTTGGGGGGAGATCACGCCTCATACATCCCTCATTCTGATGGGTCAAATTACTAAGTAACAGAGACACCACTCTCCCAACATAGCAGAGTCCTGAATTATTTTTCTTTAGAGCATGATATGCCTTTCCTTCACAAAAGAAAGACCAGCCAATGCCAAATCTTTTTCCTTTAGACAAATTAAGTCTTCTTACAAAGGAACAATTACTAAGGTCATCTATGTAGTTGAAACACGAGCACTTATGATAGACTATAAATTCAAGGTCTAAAGTTCACTCATCCTCTGAGCTCTCATCTTCCTGCTGACTAATTTCATCCTGAGTTATATTTCTGTACCCTTCTAAGCTGACAGCAAGTCCAGCTGTAAGAAATGAGAGGCAAGCGACCAATACAGGCTCAAGGCTTTATTGGAGGACAGATCTGCCAGGCTGCTTCAAGCAGGAATGGAGGCAGCAGCAGAGTGGACAGGTGTGGATGGAATTTAAACAAAAGTTTAGGGGGCAGTCACATGGGTCACATTACAGGGACTATGGGAATTCAGGGGGAGAGTGAGTCCTGAGAAGGAGGTATTGCATGGCTATGGGAATTGAGGGGAAAGTCTCATTCTGAGGAGTGTAATGAGACGGTTGCAACTGGGGTGGGAATTTGTATCAGGAAAACAATACAGCATTGGGGAAACAAACTTAATGGACTTTTGTAAATAAGTAAGGACATGAGGCAGGGACTTAATCAGCAAGCTGACTCTGAGACCTTACTTAGACCAACCAAATCTTGCAACAGAATATTTTGTACAGAAGGGTCTTCCTAGATGCAAAAGGAATTTTTATTCACGGTATTAAGGGCCAATTGACTTCATAAATTTGGAAAACTGGTAAATTCTGATTTGGGGGCCAAATATATGGTGACATTTTTTCTCGTAAGAACACTGTCTTAACTGGGCCCCAGTGGCTCATGCCTGTGATCCTAGCTACTCTGGAGGCTGAGATCTGAGGGTCACGGTTCAAAGCCAGCCCAGGCAGGAAAGTCCATGAGACTCTTATCTCCAATAAACCACTCAGAAAACCGGAAGTGGCACAGTGGCTTAAGTGGTAGAAGGCTAGCCTTGAGTTGAAGAGCTGAGGGACAGTGCCCAGGCCCAAAGTTCAAACCACACCACACCACACCACACACACATACACACACACACACACACACACACACACACACACAATGCTTTCTTTTGGTAGCCTTTCTGTATTTTGGAAGAATTAAATTTTTCTTTCATCTTTGGAGGATAAGTGTAACTGTGCCAAACTGGATATTATCTCTCTTAAAATGATCAGATATGTTTATCCAGGGCCCCTCAAGTCTTTTCTGACTAAATACTTCAACTCTGTCTCTATACCAATGGATAGGTCCTGTTTCTTTTCTTTTTTTTCTTTTTTCCTTTTTTTTATTTCAGTTATCCTTATCCTCTTAAAAGATTCCTCCAGGGGTTTCTCAATGTTACTCTTTTAAAAAATATTTTTATTGTTGTTTTAGAGGTGATATACATATATCGTGATATGTACATTTCTTTCCTTTTGCTTAGTATCAGCTGTTCCCTCTTTCTCTCTCATTCTCTCCCTCCCATCACCACTCTTGATGCTTAATTCACTTTCATCAGTGTCCAGTATAGCTGATGGACCCTTCTGCTGTATTTTTTCATCTGCTTTCCAGTGATTCTGGGCCCTCCCCCCACCTTCCCTCAGAAGTACACATTTATACACCATATATGAGGTAAGGAACAAAGAGTTATCTAAAAATGATACAACAAATTAAGAAGTCCTTTGTCTCCTTATCTTTGGGGTTCTTTTCAGTATGTATATTATTTTATATACATATGAAGAGGTACTTGAGTATTACAATTTGATGCTTTTCTCCTAAGACTATCCTCTTTTGGTTTCACTGTGTATGGGTATCTTGAGTCCTGTTTACTTCGTCATATCTTGTTGAGTTTTAAGTCTAACACTGCATATCATGCGCCATTTGTCTCTCTGATCTTGGCTTACTTCATTCAACATGATTTGTTCTAGTTCCTTCCATTTTCCTGTGAATGCCATTATTTTATCCTTTCTAATGGCTGTGTAAAATTCCATTGTCTATACATACCACATTTTTTGGATCCATTCATCTGTAGTGGGGCATCTGGGTTGTTTCCATATCTTGGCTATTGTGAACAGTGCAGCAATGAACATGGAAGTGCATGCGTCCTTGTATCCTGATTCCAGTTGCTCAGGGTAGATGCCTAGGAATGATATGGCTGGGTAATAGAGAAGGTCTTTATTTAGCTTTCTGAGGAACCTCCAGACTGCTTTCCAGAGTGGTTGTATTAGTTTACATTCCCACCAGCAGTGCAGTAGAGTTCCTTTTTCTCCACATCCCTGCCAGCGTTGGTTGTCTGAATTCAGAATATAGGCCATTCTGACTGGGGTAAGGTGGTATCTCAGGGTGGTTTTTATTTCCATTTCCTTTACGGACAGGGATGATGAACTTCTGAGAAGTCTCTCTTTAGCTCCCTTGACCATTTAGTGATTAGTTTATTAGATTTGGGACTGATTAGTTTCTTGAGCTCCTTGTATATATTGTATATTAGGTCTTTGTTTGATGTATTGCCAGTAAAAATCTTTTCCCAATTGGTTGGCTGTCTTTCTAGTTTAGTAGCTATGTCTTTAGCTGTGCAGAAACTTTTATTTTAATGTAGTCCCATTTGTCGAGTCTCTCTCCTATCTGTTGTGCCACTGGAACTCTATTCAGGAAGTTCCTGCTGTGCGTATAAGTGCTAGTGTTTCTCCTACTCTGTCTTGCCGTAGTTTCAGAGTTTCT